TGTGTAGGATGTGCTTTTTATGTGTTTCTCTGTGTTTGGGTTTATTATCTTATTGGGATCATCTGTGTATTCTCCTGTTGGGAGTTTTTATTTTTCTGTTATTGTGGGTGTGTTGTGGTAGCCTAGGCTCCCGTATGGGATGTCCTCCGACTAGATTCGGCTTTTGGCTGGTTGCTAGTTGTATGTGTGTTTTTATTCCTTTTTATGAAAGCCTATCGTTTCGAAAAAGAANACCTCTCTATCTCATCTTTAAAGTGTCTCTAATTATCTGTTGTGTTGTCATAATGACAATGAAAGTGGTGTTAGTGTTATATACTGAAAGCTTGGCTTTGCATGTTATTACACATTTACCCTTTATGAATGAGAATCATGTTAGATTAAACAAGTTCTACGTTCTGTTGTTCTGCACTTAGATAGGGTGGGTCGTCATCGGGCGAACCGAAGATCACTCTATCAGTCACTTGCGAACAAGAATAGTTGTTCACAACCTAGATGGACATGGACACCCCATCCGAACGGTTGTAGTGTCAACTGTACAGTTTGTCTTGACTGATTAGTTGCACTAGTACATTTATGTATTGAACAGGATCCCAGAGAGGAGAAGTTCATTTTATACTGATCGTCGTAAATGAACTAGGCCTCGGTTAATTACTGCGTTCTCTTAACCCGTAAGATATTAAACAGGCAGATATATATAATATATATTACTTTGATTCACATGGGTGAGGTTCAGTTCGCTGGATTAATATTCCTACTGTTTTGGGTAATATTATTATATATAGGATGTGCTGTTAGGATATTTACGGTCACCATGTGCGTTAGTTTGATGATGTCCCCGGAGTGAGTTCATGAAGGATTGTTATGCTAAACCCTGCAGGTGGATTAAATTCCGGCATAATAAGAATGTGATGAACGAGCGCTAGCTTCGGTGAAATAATAATAAATTAATTAATTCTTGATTGTCAGTAATCGAATTAATTAATGGACATTATATCTTAAACGTGGGGAGGTAAATCGAGTAATTATTATTGGAGTCTCAAATGTAATTTGGGCTAGGGAAAGGGAGTGCAATAATATAATGTTGGTGGCCCATTAATATTATTTAATTAATTAGAGGAGTGGGTTTGGCCCACAGTTAGTCTAATTAATTAAGGAGCCCTTTTCCTAATCTCCTTAGGGTCCCTACTGTAGCTCTATATATACATCATTAAGCTCATGAGAAGAGAATAGAATTCATTCTCACGTGAAACACGTCTCTCTCTCTAGATCTCATTCGAGCTTTATCTTCTTCTTGTTGCTCCACTGGTACAAGTTGAAGAAGGGTGTATTGAGTAATACAGTAGAAGATCTGTAGGTAAACCGAGACGAAATTGATTTTGACCTACAGAACTAACCGGAAGTCCGATTGAGACGTACAGTATACCCAGACGACCGTCTCGACGAGAGCTTTCCATCGCCGCCGACGTCGCCGGAATCCGACGCCGCACGCGCCCTCACGCGCCGCCGGAAGGTGTCTGGCAGCAAAATTTCGTTTTGATCTGTTTGCATCCGTTTGATCCAGTTTTGATCTGATCTTGTTCGTGCAACCCAAGACGCGTGTTGCGGTCAACCGTTCGTGGTCAACCAGATCTACATAAATTTTAAGCCGTAAGTTCTCTACGTCAAACCTTTAGATCCGCTGCGCATAGGTTTACGTTTGCTATTGAATTCGTGATTTGTACATAACGAGATCCTCACAGATCCCAACAAGTGGTAATACAAGTTGAAATTTGGTTGAGTAGGTCCTTCCTTCTTTGATCTGGGCCATGTAATCATGTTTCCACCAAACCTCTTCTCTGTCATCTCTATTACTGTATATGTGTCCATCTTGAATCTATGATCTTTCCACCTAGCCTCTTTTTTCCCCTCCAACCTCTCATTCCTTGGTAAGCTCCCTCTTTCTCTCTTCACCTCAGGCCGAGCTACTTTCTCAATTTTTGCAAACTTGGCCTCCACCTCTTCCATTTTATTTTCTTAGAGCGTAAATAAACTCAAATAAACAAAAACAGAGGTAAAAGAAATGAGTTCACCTTAGTCAATACAAAAGAAGTCGCCGAACCATGTACACCATTGGGTTGCCTCCCAACAAGCGCCTCTTTTTATTATCGTTGGCCCGACCTATTGCTTCTTTCATCAAAGGATCCATGGTGGCTTCCGAGGTGGCCTCAAGAGCGGGAATACATAGGACACATGTCAGCTTCTATCGGCACAAGAGTGAGAAGAACGACACTTTTTTTTGGCTCCAGCAGGTCGAGTATGGGGTACAACAGGCTGAGTATGGGGCTCCTCCGTACTGGGCTATTTCGACTCTGTTTTCTCTATATTCGTGATTTTTTCGTTCTTCAGCTTGTATCTTCACTCTTCATGTTCATAGAGGTCCTCGCTGCACGAATGAATGACGCTCGAACTCATTGGACTCATTCCGAGCCAATAAGCTAGTCGGTCCATCTGTTCCGCTAATTGGCCAATTTGGCCTTGTAAATTCCTTGTGCGCGCATTTGTATCTTACTGCTACCTCTCATAACTTTGATGAAATTTTAATGTGTTCAGCGTCAATGCCTTCATCATATCCTCGAGCGACTGGTCAGGATCTCTCAACACAAATGGCTGGGAGTATCCAAGGAAAGAGTTCGATTACTCTCCCAATCTATATTCGTCCTCCTCTCGATCTCTAATCCAAGGGCCTCGTAGCTCTCTCTCATACTGATAGGTGACCGGTGGGTACAGAAATCATGAAAATAAGTTGCCATTTTGGAGCAATTGCGCCAAGCTCGCTAAAATCGCCCAAAGATTCAATCCCGCAAGTATGGGGTTCGAACTATTCTGTCGAGCAGAGTATGGGGGCCCCCAATATTCTGCAAGAAAATAAAAGAAGGAAAAAAAACAAGAAAAAAGGGAGAGTAAAAGATGAGAAAAATAAAATCCTAAAAATAACACTCAATTAGTATTCAAAAATCACAATTCAATAACGCCACTCCCTGGCAACCGCGCCAAAATTTGACCACGCGTCGCAACGCGACAAATTGAAATTTATATTTTTCCTCGACTAACCTCTACTAACTTGTAGTAGCGGCGAGCAAGGGTCAATTCTACGAGGAGTGTGAATCAAATCGTGAATTTTTTCGTATTAATTGAATTAGAAAAGAAATAAAATATGGTGGGATTGAATTTAATAACTAAAATAACTAAAATCCTAATGAGGAAAAAAAAAATCTAAATAATAAAGATAAAAATAAAGTAAATAAAGAGAATTTTCTTGTTCACGGTTTCATCTACACCCTCGCTCGACTAGTCTAACTAATTGTAACGTCAAGGTTCACTATCTCGTGAAATTACTAGCCCTAGATAGCAACACGTTCTGCTACCCGAATTTTTTCTTATTTTTAATTTAACCGCGAGACGCTCTACGATTAAACCTGACTTGTTGTACAGTCTAGGACACGCTCTCTAGATTTAATACAATTAGTCGCTTTAGGATCTAGAAAAATAGGATAGACTAAGTAGTGAATCTAACCGCGTGGTTCACTTAAGTAGGCCGTGTTATCCCCGGTAGCTAGCGAGATTGTTGGCTTGAAGATAAGCAACTGGCTAAGTGTGGGGGAGTTTGTATGTTTTTGTTGTTATTTTGTGTCTTTTAAGTGTTTTATTTGTGTTCGTTTTATTTTACTCTTTTTATCTTTTATTTTGTAGGAATTCGCATTCCGTAGAGTTGCCCAGGCCTGGAAAATCTCGTCAATTTTCGAGGAAAGATAGACCGTTGCCGAGACTCCCTGTGCACGAGAGAACCGTGTGCCCTAGGTTGTCTTGAGGAGACTCGAGCACCTGTATCCGCTAGCCTGCGCGCCTGCCCGAGTGCACTGCCTGAGCTATCCGATCGTATTGCCCAAATGTCCAAACTGTGTGTTCCTATTCACGTGTCCTTATCTTAATTATATTCCTACTTAGTTCACATTAGCCTACCTCGTTAGGTAGCATACTTGTGCTATTAGCTCGGTATCTCTCGAACTGGGTTGATCTGTCCTACGATGAGCAAGACTGCCTTTCCTAACTCGACCTGTTGGCTTCTAGGTCGTGCTTTCACCAAGCTATCCTAGAGCCTTATCTCAACCAGTTGTCGGAGTGCTTCGCCTATGAGGTCATCATCGATCTTGCGTTTTCAAGACCTCTGATCTCATTGTCTGACCAACCTGACGATTAACTCGAACTAATCGAACTATTCTTATGTCACACATGACCTAATATTGGTATGGTATCCCATCAGTACTAATGTTTTTGCATTGTTTGTGTCTCAATCCAATTTGTTGTCGGGAATCAAAGGAGCCGCCGTAAGCTATGCCCCCATCAAGATATCAATCCAGCGTGAAAATCTCCATGAAAAACGATGGCCACTTTAATGAATTAATAAAAACAACTAATTCCAGATATCGTATCCATTAAATTTATTTTATTGACATCATCAGCATTAATATACTCCTAGAAAAAAATTGTCTACGTGGTCGGGGTACGTATCAAACAGAATAACAACTAATAAAATTTATGTGACAATTAAAAAATAGGTAAAACAATCAAAATGCCAATTGGACTACTTA